CCCCCTTATTGCGTGCCCCAAAAACTCCTTCCTCTTGGGAATACTAACTCTGGCCTTGCCTTTGGTACCCCCGGCCTTGCCCCTGAGACCCTTGTGGTGTAAACACCTTCTACTTCTTACCCGAACTTGTGTTGGAGGATTGACCTCCTTCTTCTTGTCCTTAGCTCCAGCCTCTCGGATACTCTTAGTGTCATTTATCTCCCTCTCAATGGCCATGGCTGTCTCGACTAAAGAAACAAGTTCTTGTAACCTGTGGCCCACTATCTTGCCTTGTATGGCCAATTTTAGACAATCCTCGAACCTCCTCACCTTTGCCATGTTGGTGGCCACATAATCATTGGAAAAATGAGCTAAATCAATGAATTTAGCCATTTACTATATGACCATCATCATCCCTTACTTGAGGTCTAAGAATTCTAAGGCCTCTACTAATCTGAGGGTGGAAGGGAAGTATTTATTCATAAATAAACATTGGAACTCTGCCCACGTCATAGCCTCTAAGCCCCTTGATGGCTTTGCCCATACCCACCATTGATAGGCTTCCCCTTCGAGTTAAAAGGTGGAAAGCCTAATTTTTATGGCATCCGATGTGATTTCTATTGCCTTAAGGATTTTTTCCACCTATTGGAACCTAAGTTTAACTACCATCGGGTCCGCTTCCTCCATGAAAGTAGGTGACTTGTGTGCCTTGAACTTCTAGAGGTTACTTGAGCCTCCTTAACCTATGTTGAGGCTAGATTATATGAAATTAGCCACCATGAAAGTCATGACATTAGTGAATGCCCATTGATCGTAGATGGGTGGTGGTGATGGTTGGTTGTTCTGACCATCTGTCGATTGTTTTGTTGTGGCCTTCCCCGTGTTGCCATCTATAACACAAGAGATAGAAATAGAATCTAATGGAGTATCACCAACTATTAACATTGTCAAAACATCATAGAATAAGTCATGACATGATGCCGTAAAAAGAACATGTGAATTTGTTTCAAGTTAATGTCATCACACACCCTCACGCTTTTGTACATAATTCTTAGAAAAATAAAAAATTGGGTCTGAAATTTATTTCATTTGAAAGTAGACATCCTAAAATTTTCAACAATATCTTATTTGCTTAATTTTGACTTCTGTAGCAATAGTTATAGCCGTTCGAATTCGGGGAAAAAATGTAGTATTAAACTGACCCACCATTAGGTTTATGTACAACATACTAGTATAACAAAACAAAAGACTGACCTACCAGTAAGTTTATGTTCGACCTATCAGTAGGTTCCAAAACAGAGGGTTGTGTTACCGGTAGGTTTATATCCAACTTATTGGTAGGTTCCAAAACAGAAGGTTGTCCTATCGGTAGGTTTATGTTTATCCTACCGGTAGCAGGTTTTTGTCCAACCTATTGATTGGTTCAAAATAGAGGGTTGGCCTACTGGTAGGTTTGGGCCTGACCTATTATTAGATTCCCAACAGAAAGTCTTCCTACCAGTTTGTTCTTGTTATCCTATCGATAGGTCAAGCTTGAAAACTAACCTACCAGTAGGTTATGTCCTGAGTCCTACCAGTTCGTTTATGTTTTCTTTCCTTCTTCTTTTCCACCCTAATGGCTATGGTTTTTGCCTTAGTTTTTCTCGTTCCTCATACTCAAACATACATATTCACAACACTTAGTACATAACAAATAATATGAAATGCACATGGATGAAGTGGCCTAACCCAATCTACCCTCAAGTCCCAAGGTAATCGAGAACCTCAACTCTGATACTAAGCTGTGACGCCCAAAATCCCAGGGATCCTTAATAGTAGTAGCCTCATTAATTACCCTAAGGCCATGGTCTTGGTGGACTAATCCTAACGAAATTTTGAAAGAATCTCCTTTGTACGTAGAGCTCCACCCAAAAAACAACCTAAGTCAATAAACAATTCATATTGACCTTCCAAGGTCTAACATACACATCTAATCCAATCTATGCATTATACACCAATAACAAGTTCAAATGTAAACCATTCAGTTAAACAAAAGAAGAGTTTACAATAAGTCCCCATAGGCAAGCCTTTACAAAAAGACTATATAACTTGTATAACCCAAAATACTACGAGGCTATCAAATTTATAATTGGGACCTAACATCTATACATCCAAGATAAGTGCCCGAGCTCCAGCTCCGTCATCAAAATGGACCCATGGGAGGGCCATTTGCCTAAGTGTGCATATTACCTGAAAATATTCTCATAAAAGGGTGAGCCTAAGCCCAGTAGGGTATATCTTATAGAATATCTCCCAAATCAAATGCATATGATATGATGTACATATAACTCAACAATCACATATATGCAACAAGTAACATAAAAGAATTTTACTAAACAAGTTGAGCAATGAGTGATGTTTTATGAATGCATGTTCGACTCCAAACCCATTCCCAAGTTCCCATGCATACCCATGATGTAATGTCATGTCATGAACCGGGCAATTCCAAGCCCCTATCATTGATTTATACATACCCAATGACCATTTCAATTATTATCTTGTCTTTAGGGGTAATTAATTTATGGCCTTTTACCAATGAGCTACCAAACTATTAATGGATCTCAAGGACATCTCAACTTCGGCTCCATTTTCGCCAACACACTTTTACGAACTCGTTACACTACCGAAAAATGTGTGACCGAATAAACTAGGTCTTACACCTGAGAGAGAATTTAGCCCTTCTTGCTATGCTCCAACATATTTCCATGCAATTTTCCATGAGACTCGATTGGACCATGGTCCAATCTTTCCAAGACCCACCCATCATTCACCTATGTCATAAGTGATTTATCCATGTATAACACTCCTAACCATGCCAAATTTCTTGTGGATGTGATGTTTAACCTGTGCACGTGCAGTGTATGTACAATTGCATTTCAATTGAAAACACAATATCAATTATAACATTAAAGTATATAAGAACATTCTAGCATATCACCCAACACATGTTATATACATTGATTAACTCAAATAATATGCTTGAATACATTTAGGCATTTTATCAAACATATAAGGTGCATAATTATAAACACCTAGCATACCCATCATAATCTACATATAAAACATGTTCAACAACCCAACTCAAGTAGAAATTAGGCAACATGCTCATAGGTTCCAATTAATATAGTAGCTACATTAATTATAGGCTAATCTTGTGCTTAACATACATTTGCTCAAACTCATCTCATATGCAAACCCTAGATTGAAATCAAATCTAAATAGAAGGGAACCTCCACCTCTTTCAAGCAAATGGTGGTGAAGAAAACCATTGAAGAGCCCAACCAAGTCTCCCACAAGCCCTAGACAAAGCCGTTGACCCGAAGATGGTGGAAAATAGTCGATCTTGGTGTTGATAAGTAGCCATCGTCGTGTAGAGCAACTTTAATTCTTGGTTGATCATGGTATAACAATTGGAGTGGGAGTTAAGTGTGAAGAAGGAAGAAGGATTGAAGAAGTGTAAGCTCTTCTCTCTCTATCTGTCTCTCTCTCTAACATTTTGGCCAAGCAAAATGGAAGACTAAGTCTTCCATTTAGTTTGGCTTTTAATTGCTTATTATTGGGCTTTGCCACTTGTCCCTTTTTAATTGCTTGTAAATCTCTCATAGCTAATCACACTTTGATATGTGTCAAGTGTGGATAATGTTAGTTAGATAACTATATTAATTATATCATGGGTCCCACGAATAAAGGCCAATTTGTTTGAATTTTAATCGTGTATCGTCTAATTATGTATTTTGTCTCGTAATACGTAAAAAAATTGACTGTCTTGAACTTTAACAAAATTTGTATGTCAAACTCGTTTTCGCGAGACGAGTCAAACTGTGAGGTATATTTCATCATCTGAGTTATATAAAATTTAAGATTTTTAACCTTGCTTAAATGGCTTATTTACAGTATTACCCATTTAATCGATTTATTAAATTTTTCCAAGTTTTATAGCTTGGGTGATCAATTCTAAAATTATTGCACTTACCCTTTTCTCTCTCTCTCTCTCTCTCTCACTTTTCCTTTGTCCATCTTGCTTGCTATTTTGGGTTGATTTGATCTTTGGAGATATAAGTACACTTCGGGGGAGTATTTGTTTATTCTTTGTGGTCAGCTAAGTTTACACAACACTCCAAAGGACTCTATTTTTATCATTTTATCTTTTGTCCTTTTTGACAATAAATTTTGTTTCCCTCCTATTTTTTTCACTCTTATTTTAAATAAGATACGTTTATTCTAAATGTTTTGAATGAAAATATAAATATATCTTTTTTTTGTTCTAAAAAAATAGAGTAGAGAGTGAGTTTGACTCTCTACATTTTAAAGAGTTTAAATAAAGAGTCTATTGGAGAAGAAATTTTACGAGTTGACTCTCTATAATAGAGAATTGAGTGAAAATAGAGAGACTATTGAAGATGATCTTATATCTTCTTTTCTCTTCAATAAAAATATATAGAGATAGATTAGATTTTTTTTCCCCCTTTGGTGGATGAGTGTTGTTCAAACTCAACATAACTTTGTAGTTTTGGGGTTGGCTACACGAATCTTATTTTGTCATTGTACTATATTAAGGAACATACTTTTTATTAAAACATAAGTTGTGATATATTTTTTTTATTATTTTATTTAAAGTTAATGTTTGATCTTTCTCTATATCTTTTTTTTTTGGGAGGGGAAAGAGGAAGGAGGGGGGGACTTGAACTCTTGACCTGAAGAAAGCAAAAATTTTACAAGACAAGGAGTACCATTGGACCAAAGACCCATTGTAAAAGTGTCATTATTTGTCATTGGTGTAGTAGTAGTAGAAGACTGTCTATAAATATGTCTGAGCCACTTAAATTAATCTACAATATGTGTTACTTCTATTTTTTTAAGGATTTTTTTTATTTCTAATTCTATCCTTCCTAGTTTTGTGAAACATCCATTTTAACATTCTCATTTCCACTAAAATCAATATTCTGTAAATATTATTTCTTAATTGTCCAACACTTATCAGTACCTTAAAGCATAGCTGATAGTATGACTATTTTATAGAACAATAAAAATAAAAGACAATAGAGCCCCTAAACGGCTAAGGGAAACAAGTGTAAACACCAATATCTTCACAGTAGGTATATAAACGTCCTCATTTTTGGTAGAAAGGATAGTAAGAAATAAAATCAACAAAACTATGACTCCCCCTTGAAGAAACGTCTACAATGGCGGATCCATAAATAGACTAGGGGGTATGGCCTCCGGACCCCTCTTGATTTTTGAAAATTGCCTCTTGGCACTTCAAACTTTATTTTCATTTTAAGGAGTATAGATAGTGGTGGCTCGTCATCACTGCTTGAAATGAGCTAGAGTACCAGTACAATCTTTTCTATCGGACTTATAACGGGCAACATAATCTGCGAAAATGACTTTCTTGTATAGTGGAGGACCCTGAAGCTCCTCTATTGGTCCAATTGGCCTGGATATAATTCGAGTGCTTTGTCTGAAGAAACAAGCCACTGATACCCTCGATTTGACAGATGTAGCTAGTACTCTATGCTTCACGCTGTTGAACTTGTCGTTGGTAATAAGCTATTCCCATCATTATAAACTATATCAGTAATCTATACACAAATGCAATAATGCTTTACAAAAATGTACTTTCTATCAACTATGTGGATGGTCCAAATAACATCAAAATGAAGAAGAATAATAAGAACCACAAATGTGCATAGTAATTTAGACTCAACACTGGATCAGGGTTGGATCACCAAACAACGGTTTTTGGTCTCCCATGGGCCAAGTTATTTGCTGGTCAATGGGTAAAATCGGGTAGCTCGCCACAAAGAAAGGGTGGTGATGGGGAGGGCCTTCAAATGGACTCTACAATTGAATTTCATTTTACAATTTTGATAATAAAAATTTAGTTTTGAATCTTCATGGGCTAGATTGTTGGAACAAGATGGGTGGATTAGGTTATCCACTAACCCAGTGGGCTAAAGGTTCTTCACACGCGGACTCAACTCTTGACACAATGGCTACGTACTTTCAGCCAGCCCATGGGCCAATTGTCCAATATTACTAATAATTTTAGAATGTTCTGACAAAATCATTAATTTGAATTAGTGGATAAGCTAAAGTTTGTCCATAAGATAGGTTTTTGTATAAGATTTTTCTTTATTTATATTTATATTTTTTATTAATATATGAGTAATATTATTTACTAACCTAATCATTGAATTGACAATGGGCCCTAATTTTTTTTTTTAGACCTATGACCAATCTAATAGTAGTGATAAATTATGTCAGTAAATTAAGTCTAAATAACATTATTGTTAATATATATCGTGAGACTACAAGTGAAATTGAATGTATAAAGATATACCAGTAATTGATGCAAATCATATATATACCTGCATAAGATCTCCAATGTTGGCTATAAGAGATCCTTGCAAAGGTTTCAAATCAACCCACTGATTCTGATGATGAACTTGGAGGCCACCAACATTGTCCTGGAGAAGAATAGTTAGAAAGGGCAAGTCCGAATGCGGAATAATGCCATGAGTCATCTCCGGCTGGGGGCAAGCTGGATAATAATGGCACAGTAATGATCCACTTGTCATGTATTCTTTGTCCGAAAGATAGTTCTTGTTTAGCCCTAGAGCCTCTGACAGCAATTCAGCCAACGTCTCTTTCAATTTTATCACCCATTTCATGTATTCTTCTACTTCAAACCTGTACAAGACATGGGTAGAGCGGAGGAATTATTAACATCAATTACAATTTTAAGACGTTATTGGTATAATACTTTTTTCTTATAATTTTTTTGGAACTAAAAAATATCATATTCTCTACACGATCCCAATATTAGACAACTCAATTAACATACTCCCAAATTTCAGATAATCACACTAATCCACACCTTTTTCTTTTATTTTCTCTCTATTCACTTTTATTTTAAATTATATCATAAAAAAATAAAATAAAAAAAAATTATTATTTAAAATATACATATTATATGATTAATGCCCAATACTTTGCATTACATAATGACTTCATGTACAAATTATTGCTAGTGTATCTATAGGGGGAGAGACAAGGGAAAAGACAACTTCCCTAAAATTTTAAAAAAATGTGTTTGCAAAGTGATTCTTGAAATTATATACAATCGATATTTTCAGTACTGATCTCCTCTTCCCTGTCTTGTCCTCTAGACATAATTCTTGGATCCAATTCCCATCATTTATAGTGTCTGATGAACTAAATGCAACAATAATACTATTTAAAGTTCTTTATTTTATCCGCTCAATGGGAATCACTTTAACCACACGTCTTTTGACTCTTTTTTATTATGTAAATTTCCGATGTACTTAATCACCAGTTAATTACAAGCATAAGTTAAATATAATTTATTCATATGATTTTGAACATGATTTAATAATTTAAATTTTTGATGCACTTGGTGATCCACAAACCCACACATCGGTTAAACACGGTTTTTGCATACTATTTTATCAATGTTTACCGATATTTCAAGTCTAATAAATATTGAACAAAAAAAGGTCTAATGAATAGAATTCTGGAAGTAACTACTCTATACCTGCAAGTTGGGGATAACATGTCTGGATCCACTAAAGTGTCGTCAAGAAATTGAACGCTTAATGTATCCCTCCAATCTTTAGATTTCAGGAAACTTTCGTTGTTGTAAAATCTCACACTTCGCGTAGAAGCAAGAGAATAGAGTTCCAGCTTGGCCTCACTAGGTTGTTCATGGAACCGTCTCACTCCTTTCAACATTCCATCCAAAACGCTGAACGAAATTCCGTGGTTAATCATTTGAAAGAATCCCCAATTTTCAGAAGCTTTCCGAATTTCTTCCACAATTTCCATTCGCCGAACACCACTACTTTCAAGGCCTGCAAAATCAATGACGGGTACTTGGAGGTTAACACCGTCGGCTTTGCATGATTTCTCCGGCTGGTTTATGAAGACTTTTGGTATCTTGAGCATCCCTGAATCTGCTAGTCCTTTAACACCGGCTCTCGTTTCGTCAATCTCTTTCATTTCTTTTTCCCCGTCATACTGTCGGATTGATTGCTCTACAGAGGCTGAAATGGCTTCCATACGGGCTGTGGAATACAAAGTTTGAGTGCACGTATTATTATGATTCATATGGTTTGATATATATGAATGACTATGAGAAGTCAGTAAATATACAAGCAGCAGAGACTCAATAAATATACAAGCAGCAGAGACTGTGATATCTATATGTGTTCACACTTGCATAATAAATTAGAGAAAGGAAACCCACAATGTATGACAAATATTGTGTGGACAAAAATAGTTGTTTGTATATGGTTGGCACAAGCCACAAGGTGGTGGCAGGGCTGGCTCCATAGAGTGGGCCTTGGCGAAAGTTTGACTAGCCATTTCAAAATTCATTATGAATATATATAATATATTATAATAAAAAAAATTAGTTGGTCAAATCAAATAACATTGATAAAAATAGAAAATTAAGACCACATTAATTAAAAAATGGTAGAAATAACCGAAAAGTGTGTTTTATGTTTTTTTTTAAAATATAACGATTTCTTGAAAAAATAAATAATGATCTAAATTAAGATCATTTTGTTAGGAATGATTTGGTTATATAAATGAAAGAAAATTGCTACAAATTTAAGCATAATATCAATTATAGACCTTTTTTGGGATTTAAAAGAATGTCGTGTTTTGTTTGCATATATATGATTGATAATTAATTATTTTTAAATAATTATGTGAGATCCCAAATTTTTAGAAGTAGTTTAAGTATAAAATATTATGAGTTTTGATGTGAAAGTATAAAGAATATTTAAGTTTTATGGTTGATATATATATTAAGTGAAATAAAGGGGATCAAAGTATAAATATTTTAACTTTTATGTTACTTTCGTCTCCACCCATGTGAAGACTTTGAAAAAAAGAAGAAGCTAGCATTGAATAAATGGTAGAAAATGTGGGTGTATGTAATTAAGAGTGTAGAAAATGTGTGTGTGTACTTTAAAAGGTAGTAAAGTGTGTGTGTGTGTGTGTTTTCTGGCATGTTTTGAAATCGTGAGTGAGGGAGAATAAAAGAGAGGGAAGAAAAATATATATGTGTTTGTGTGTGTTAAGCCAAGAGCAAAGAAGGAAGAGAGGGAGAGAGAAAATAAATCTTGGTGGGTTTTTTTAGTTCAAACCGAGAGGAAGAAGAAGAATGAAACAAAAATCAGAGTTATCGAATTTAAATAATGATTTTGAGGTACGGGGTGGTATGCAAACTGCTTTCTTTAAATCTCTTTGCAAAGAGTATTTTTTTGATTATCCTCTGATTTGTATTCCAACTTGTGCTATCGTTATTTTAGAATTTTGATTGAATATCGTTGAATATTTTGATCTCATTGATCGTGTTCTGTGGATATTGAGACAAGATCGTGTGTAACGCCCCAAAACCCCCCTTGGGTGACATTACATTCTAAAAACCATTCACCCCATGAGAGCATTACGTAAATTCATCACGACGAAAGTTCATTCATCAACCATTCATATTTTAACAAAATTTGGGCAGAGTCTCCTTTGTACGGGGAGCTTTACCCAAAACACAACCTGTACAATTATATTACAATTGACCACACCGGGTCCACATATGCATAACTATTGACCACACCGGGTCTATTTATCCATCATAAAATAAACTTTCATTCATCATATGTCATATCCACACTATCATCCCAAAAGAATAGGTCCAATCTTGGCCTTTACATCTCCACAATGTAATAATATAACGCAGCGAAAATAACAAAAAAAAAAAAAAAGAACTAGACTTCAAAAGGATATTCTAAGTATAATCTAGTCTAGAACAAAATAAAAGTGTCGCTCTAAGCGTCCACCTCGGGATCCACATTCCCTTCAAGCGGAGTCTCCCAATGGGCGGGCTCCTCGGCTCCTAACTCCTCCTCAAGTGTGAAATCTGAAAATGTTATTTGTAGGGGGTGAGCACGAAGCTCTGTAGCAAAATCCTCTCAACTCATACAAGGTTTATAAAAATATATAAAAGGGTCGGTCTCATTTTTCAACATAGCATAGATACATAATTTGAAATGAAACGGGTGCATTTTTCAACGAATCTCAAGTTTAAGTAACAATAGTAATAGAAAGGAGCAATTTCAACCAAGTGCTAATAAACATCCATTGCCAAAATATAAATCATTTCCCACACATGATATCATATTGTCCTCTCTAACGGGAGCATTCTTACAAGAAACCTCTCACCCTCAATATTTGGTTTCTGAAGCATCCTTACAAGGAACCTCTTGAGAAGGAATGAGCATCCTTACAAGGAACCTCTCATCCATGTTCATTCCAACAACCATACAAGATCACATCATCCCAACAATCGTCACACATAACCAAGGATTCCATAAATCTCCAATTTACAAGCAAATTTCCAAAGATCCACAAATCCATTATGAGGCAATTTCAATAAACAATTAGGAAAATACAAGAGATCACCACCACATCATTTTCATTACTCACACAAAGCACTAAAGTTCTCAAAACCAAGCTTGAGCAAATGTAGAAAGAGAATTCCATATTTCCCCAAAAACTAGGGTTTTAAAGCTATAAAAGAAGTTTCATGGGTAATCAATCCTAACTTTGTTTAAGACATGCCATAATTGCAAGAAAACCAAGAAACAAGGAATTCCTAGCAAATACATACAAGTATGAGTCAAAACATATATATATTTTAGCCTTAGCCTCAATGGACAAGCATGGAAGAAAAACCCCTACCTTGAATCAAAGTTTCAAACCACAAACCCAAGCTCTAATGACCTCCTTTCTCCCTTTCCTCCTTTCCTCTATCTTCCCCAAGGGTGCTAAGGGGTTTGGGGGTGAGAGATGTGAGAAAAAATGGAAGGAATTGGCTGGATTCTGTGTTTTAAACACAGCAGTCCGCGCAATTCACTGTTCATGGCTAAATTTTGAGTTTTTTTCAAAATTACAGTTTTGCCACTAGAAATCTCCAATTTGATCCATACGACTACCCTAAGGTTTTTCGACGTTCCGGATTCATTTTTAATGTTATTTTAACCTAAAAACATTGCTTTTTATGATTTATTTCAAAACTAAAATAAATTCACACTTGGAACATTAAAATTTCTATTTTATTCCTTCGAACTACTATAGGTGATATCCTTACGATTTTAATATATATATGGTTTATTCTTAAGTCATTACATATAGAAGAATCACTAAACAAGTACATTAATATATTAATGTAAACATATGGGGTTTTACACCTTCAAGGTCTAATAAGAAAGCACAACCCTTTACTATCCAAGGAGCACCATAGTGCAGATTTTTGGTCAACTTCATAGAATAAACTGATTTGACTCAGGTATTTCTAGGAGGTGTAACCTATATGGTTGGAAAGATATACGAGTTAGGGTTCTAACAAAAATAACGGTACACAATTCGGACTTTCCAATAAAGAGTTATGATGAAATTAGCGAAAGGTAGTCTGCCGGACAGATTTTTGGACAGTGTAGACACTACTTCGTAATATGGACATAACTCCTTCCTCCTAGTTCCGATTGAGATGATTCAAGGTGATATGGAATCCTAAGAGAGAGCTCTACAAATTTCATGTTTTAAGTTTTGAGAGATATGGACTGCATCAAGGTCGAAATCGAGCTTGATGTTACAGCCAGTGCACTGTTCATCCCTTTTTCATTCTACCAAATTCAAACACACATCACTACACATATCCCCATTTTTACAACAATTATTTACTATATATCTATATACATATATAAAAGAAAATGCGGGGTGTTACAATACACCCCCCTTAAAGAAAGTTTCGTCCTCGAAACTTACCTCAAGTAGCGAACAAATGTGGGTACTTCTCTCGCATTTCTAGCTCCGGTTCCCATGTAGCTTCTTCCACTCCATGGTGTTGCCACAAGACTTTCACCAATTTGATGACTTTGTTGCGAAGCACTTTCTCCTTGGCGTCGAGAATCTTCACTGGTTGTTCTTCATAGGTTGCTCCATCTTGAATTTCAATATCTTCTAAGTCTACAACCGGCGTTGCATCCGATTTACACTTCCTCAACATGGACACATGGAATACGTCGTGTACTCCCGATAACTGAGCTGGTAACCGCAACTGATATGCCGCCTTGCCCACCACTTTGATCACTTCAAATGGCCCGGTATACCTTGGCGCTAACTTTCCCTTCTTGCCGAATCTAAATACTCCTTTCTGGGGCGACACTTTGAGAAACACATAGTCCCTCTCTTTGAATTCTAATGGTCTTCGTCTTTGATCCGTGTAGCTTNCCGAATCTAAATACTCCTTTCTGGGGCGACACTTTGAGAAACACATAGTCCCCCTCTTTGAATTCTAATGGTCTTCGTCTTTGATCCGCGTAGCTTTTCTGTCTACTCTGTGCTGTGCGTAGTCTCTCCCGGATGAGTTGAATTTTCTCTGTAGTCTCTCGAACAATTTCTGGCCCAAACAAACTACTCTCGCCCGCTTCTAACCAACACGTCGGGGATCTACATGGTCTTCCATACAAGGCCTCATAGGGTGCCATTCCAATACTGGTCTGATAGCTGTTGTTGTATGCAAATTCCACCAACGGTAAATGGTCACTCCAACTTCCCTTGAAGTCCAACGCGCAAGCTCGTAACATGTCTTCCACGATTTGTATCACCCTCTCGGATTGGCCATCCGTTTGGGGATGAAAGGCTGTGCTGAAATGTAACTCTGTCCCCATAGCTTGTTGTAGACTTTGCCAAAATCGCGCCACAAACCGAGAATCACGATCCGACACAATGGAGAGCGGAACTCCGTGCAACCTAACAATCTCACAGATATAGAGCTTGCTCAACGTCTCTAATGAGTCTGTGGTCTTCATACCCAAGAAATGAGCGGACTTGGTGAGTCTATCCACAATGACCCACACTGCATTATGCCTGCGCGACGTCCGTGGTAAACCCGACACGAAGTCCATGGTGATGTGATCCCACTTCCACTCTGGAATAGGCAAAGACTGTAGGACTCCTCCTGGCCTTTGATGCTCAATCTTCACCTGCTGGCACACCGCACATTTTGCCACATACTTGGCTACATCTCGCTTCATTCCCCTCCACCAGTATTGACGCTTCATGTCCCTATACATCTTTGTGCTACCGGGGTGGATAGCAAACTTGGAGCGATGACACTCCCCAAGTATCTCCTCCTTTAGGGACGAATCATCGGGA